TTGTAAGAGTATCTTTAAAGTTATCAACATGTTTTTGAATAAACTTATAAATATGATTATTATTTTCTGATTTATTAATTACAATTTGTCTTGCTTTTAAAAGTTTAAGAATATTATATTTGAGTTTATGTATGTATAAGAGAAGACAATTATTATTATAGTAAGTATTAATAGAATTAAAAGAAATAAAATGTTCAGCTACAGTTTAGAATAAATCTATAATCATTAAAAAAAATAGGAAATGTGTTAGAGAATATAGTGTTGAGAAAGGAAGGAGAAAATATATAAATTTTATATTAATAGTATAATTTATAAAGTTTATTAATTTATTTATAAATAGTAAAATTTAAATATAAATAAAATGAGTTGTAATAAACAGATGTGATTTATTTAAAAATATGCTTAAAAGTTGATATTATAATTGTATGAGTATATAACTTCTAAGTTTTATTAATAGAACTATTTAAATTATACAAATCTTAAATTAAAATATGATTAAATATAATATTTTGTCTGAGTAACAGATCAGCTTTATTAAAAAAGGTTCTAATATAAATAAGTGATTTTATTATAAAAAAAATTTTGTTTTATAATCTTATATTATTTTTGAAAAAGTTTTTTGCAAAGAGTAATGAATAAAGGGTAATGATTTGTAGAATATAGATAATAAGATTTATTTAGAATATTAAAGGATATAAGGTCATTTAAAAATTTTGTAAAGATAAATATATAATTTATATGAGAAATTGAATCATATAAAGAAGAGAAGTGAAAAGTAGGGGGTAGGTAGATTGAAAAGGAATAAGAGTGTAAATAAAACTTAGGTTAAGAATATTATATAAAAAATTCTGCAGTTATTTTTAGGATTTAAATCTATATTTTTTATTTATATCAATATTAAAATCTCCTATTAATATAATATGAAAATTTAAGATATAGACTATCTGTTAATATGTTTATTAATTCTTTTTTGAACTTGAAAATAATATTAAAAATCTTTTTTATCATTATAAAAAGCAGGTAATATATACTTAAATAACTTTAAGTTTAAATTTTTTTTGAATTGAAAATTAAGAAATATAATATATTTAAAAATAATTTTTAGTTAAAGATATGTATGCTTAAATTTTATAGACCATTAATCCAATATCTTGATAATTTTGATAATGATTAGAAAAGTAAAAGAAATATTTAAAAGAGGTTCTTATTAAAATAATAAGCTTATAATAAATTTTAATGAGTTTCACTTAGTTCAAGTATATCTATATTGAAATTATTAAAAAGAAATTAATATTTTATATTTTAGAATTTGAGAAACAATTTTTGACATTATGTGTTATAAAAGAATAAGATTTAAGTTATTAATAATATTTGTGAAAGTGTTATTTAAAGTGTATTATTATTATTAAGATTTATGTGATATAATCCTATATTATTATTTATATGATAGACACTCATTTAAAGGAAGATGAAAGTTTTTAAAGAATTTGTTAGATATTATTAGTAATATTCTTAATTTCTGAGCAGGATTCAGCAAATTGATTTTTAATACTGATTACTTTTCTAAAGGAGAGATGCCATTTGAGAAAAATCATTAGAGGCTAATCAAGTAAAGATTTAGATAAAGAATTAGTAAAATTATTAAAATCTATTTCACTGTCGTATATTCCCTTAGTGTAAATTATATTATTACATTTTCTAATTTAGTTAGGTGATAGTTAATATCTTTTTAATTTTCTTGAAGAATAATTATTTATTTTTGTGAGACAACTTTATCAGCAAGAATAATCAGCTTATTATTAATATTATCTAGCTGTTTTAAGATATCTTTTAAAATTGATGTAGTATTAGTTAAACTTAATTATTATTTTGAATTGTTAGAACTGTTTTTTAATGTATTAGTATATGAAAATTTTAAGATTTGATTTGATTATATATTTAAAGTATAATTGTTTGATCGATTGTTAAATTTACAGAGAAACAGATTTAAAATGTTTGTATAATTGACAGTCTAAACTGATTTATGAAAATAAGAAAGAATAGGTCTTTAAAGATTTGGATTCTATTGATAATAATAAAATAATTGAATAGAAGGTCTAATAATAAAGAATAAATAAAGATAAAGAATTATTAATATTAAAAGAGAATACTATTAACATTGAATCTGAAGATTTAAAAGATAATATAATAATATGATAAAACTTAGAAGAATAATTAAAATAAGAATTTAGGAAAATGATAATGCTGACATAATGAAAATGGAATTATCAGAAATCAAAGAATTATAAAATTGAAGAATCAGATAAATTAGAATAAATTAAATAAATAGAAATTAGATTCTTAAACAAATAAAATTAATTTATAAAACAAATTCTCTTAAATATGAGTAACAGAAATAGTTCAGAAAAGTACAGCTCTTATTGAAACTATCAAACTCATAAAATATCATACATTTGTAAATCACAGATTTTGATGCTTATATTAGTTAAAATAGATGAATTTAAATCTGATCAAAATTCTATTTTTGATCAGAATTAAGATTTTTATGATTGCAAAATATTGTTTAATTCTAGTCAAATTTATAGTACTGGCCAAAGTTAATTTTAACTGGTTAATTAATCGTTAATAAATATTTTAACCGATTATTAACTAATTAAAAAATTTCAGTTAGTTTTAACCTCTAGGATGCAAAATAAAATCATTCTGCATAAATCAATTTTGATCAAATATATATTAATAGTTTACTAATTGCTTAGATCTCTATTAACATATCAAAATATTTTAAGTTTTATAAAATATTTTAAAACAATTTTATACTTACAGTTTAAAGAATAGGATAATATATAGAAAATCATTAATTTTATATATTTTATACTAAAGATGACACAGTAACTAGTTATAACTTATTATTTATCACTAATTGTAATTAATTAATGCATAATCTTTATTTTAAATTTTTTAATAATAATATTTCTTAAAATATTTTTAACAATAATACTTAATCCTAGACATTATAAAAATATTTATAAACATTCAAGTTTTGTGTCAAATATAAAAGAAAATAAATTATGGTAAAATTATAGATTATTATAAATAATATTAAATTATTTACTTAATAATAATAATTAGATAGCATTATGTTATCTTCTATATTTTATATTGCTAAAAGAATTAAGAATAAAAAACTAAAGATAAAATCAATTAATACTGAAAATTTTTAGATTTTAAATAATATTATAAAGACATATAATAAACATGTTTATAATATTAATAATAGAATAAAGATAGATATTCTACTAAATAATTGAATACTTTTAATAAAGCATATACAGTATTAAAGTAAAAAGCATCAGCAAAGCTAAAAGGTTAATATTAGTTATAAAGAAAAAGATAATGAAGTTAGTAAAAATAATGTAATTTATATTATAAAATAAAATATTATACTTCTAAATATTCTAATAAAAAAATGTTAATGTAAAATAATTATGAAAATGACAATATATTTAATAAAAAAAAATGCATATGTAAATAAATGTTATCATTTTCATTTATTCTTGATTTGACTTAAATCAGATTAATAAAGAAACTTATGAGATAATTGAGGAAGCGGATGATTGTAATTATCTTTATAATTTTTCAATATTACAAATAAAAAATGAAATTAATTTATCAATTAATAATTAAATTTAATAAACGAATGTTATTAAACAAACCTTTATAATTTATAATTGCAATTAAAAATAACAAATCGAAATCGTTAACTAACTTATAATTTAACCTAAATAAAATTGTTTATGATAGTTACAATTTTAATTTAAATAATATAAATTTAGTTTAATCTTTTATTGAATTCATCGATTGAATTCTTTAAAAAAAAAAAAGTTATATAAGTAACATCTTTAAAGCCTGCATGCATCAAAAATCTTTTGGACCTACAATCTTGTTATTCCGGTATTTTGGCACAATATCTAGAAAAGTCCCATTTTTTAAAAAATGGTCGGTGCGTTCAAAAAAATTTAATATAACTTTATTTATCTCGATTTATCACTTTATTTTACGCCAAAATAATCTGATTCCGTGAAATTTCAGGGTTCTTGATAAAGTTGTCAAAATTTCTTGTATGTCGTGTAACCGGATAAAACACATCATTATCGTGGATATGATACATAATAAATACTCATTTGGTTTGACATACGTAAAGTACATCACATTGAATGAAAATGTATTTATATATACAACAATAATTACATTCTCTTTAATGCAGGCGTTTAATTACAAACGATATTAAAGAACATATATTTAGGATACAAGACAATACAAGTAAAACAATTTAATTCCTATTGTAGATACGATTGTACGGTTCCCCCCTATACATCATTGTGCAGTATTCCGAAGAAATTTGCATATTGCATAAGTCCTTGTTACCGAATTACGCCTTTGATACATAAATCATTACCTAATGGGCTTCATAACATAACCATCTTACCAAAATCACCAAAATGAACTTTAATTTCATTATATCAGAAACACATTTCAAATCCCCCCACAATCAACCAGACAGATTATTTGACATCTATAGGAACACTTCCTTATTTACTTAGTACAACATAGTGTGTGTATTTACGAAAAAACAATATATATATGTGTATACGAGTAATATGATCTGATATATCCCAAATACAATTTATACATAAACCCCTCAACGAAATAAAAAGAAAAAGAAAAAGAAAAAAAAAAAAAAACTCATTAATAGTGAAATATATTTTTTTTAAAAAAATATCGAAGAAGGTAAATAATAATAATAATAATAATAATAATAATAAACAATTTAAAATATCTGAAATGCTGGAACTCGAAAAGAACGGTGTTTCGGGGTAAAGACGAAAGAAAAAGAGCGTAAAAAGGAACAAGCAATATACATAATAGATATCCCCTTGATTTGTGATACAATTTATGTTAAAATAAATCGTGTACTAGGTGAATTATTGTAAAATCGTGACCTAAGCCAAATATCTGGATCTAAGTTCACATAACCTTAATGTTCGTTCCGGCTAAGTCAATTGTAAGAAAATTCCCTATATTTTCAATGCGCTTTGGCAATAAGTTCCAACAATTCGAGCATCACTAGTCACCGCCGTTTTAGCTGCGCAATCAATGTTTAATTAATACGTATTACAAAAAAAAACTGCGCCAACAATACTGGACCTTTCAATGTCACGAATTTTTGATTAAATATAAATCTCACCTGAGTATCAAGAATTAAACGTTGTTGATTAAGAAAAGATGCAGGTCCTTGCCTTTGCAAGAAAACATGATCACCTTGAATACGTCTACCCATATTGAACCAAGCACTTGTGACCAAACTAATTTCTTTTTGTGCTTGTTCTTTAGATTCTTTGTGAAGTTGCTGGAAAATATTATAAAATAAGAATGCGCACAGTAAATTAAATGAAACAAAAATGTTAACCAACTTACCTCTAAGCGCTTAACTTCAGCAACATGAGCTTCTCTTTCTGCTTCGAATGAAGTAATTGCATTTTTGTAATTCTCAATTATTTCATGTTGACCAGTAACCAAAGTCTTGAGTTGTTCAACCTTTCTGTGCAATTGTACATTTTGTTTCTTAAGATCATCTTCGCTTTTATCTTCAAAACTTTGAAGCAGAGAAGACAATTCTCTGGAAAGATGGAATACAATATTAGAATAGATAATATATTAGAATATAAAAATAATAAAATTAAAATATTAAACGTACTCATTTTGAATCCTCAAGTTCTCCTTTTCATCCTCTAATGCTTTAATTCTAGCTTCGGTGTTAGCTATTATATACAATAAAATATGAACATTTATTAAAACAAGTTAACAACCAATTCCCAATTCCCGTCTAAAATTCTATATAATAATTTATTATGTTTGTCTAAGTTGTTGATCATTTTGTCAAAAAATAACCACTATAATACGTCGTAAATAAATTAAGTGTGTATAATACAGTCGTGACTTATCTGAACAACCATTATTGTATTTTTGATTTCTTCTTTGAACCACAAATAAAAAAACGAAAAATTCGCCACTCAAATTTAATACCACACGTACAATCAGGTCTGACTTCACCCATTTCCCTCTCAGCTCGATCTAATTTCATCTGTGTTTCTCGAAGTTGCTTTCTAGTCTCCAATAGTTCCTTTTGATCTCTCTCGAAACTTATCCTGTGTTCCTTTTTATTTACACTTATTTAATAGTAAACACGCGGTTGAAAATAAAAATAAAAATTATTAAATAACTGGTCTAAAGCTTTCAGGAACAGATAAGTTGATATAAAAACTAACCTGTTAGATGAACTGGACATTTCTGCTTGTAATCGTTCAAGCTCAGATTCTAATACAAGTTTTTCTTTTTGAACTTTAACATAGTCCTGTAAAACAATAAACAATATAAATGAAAACGTTAAAGGATAACAAATGTATCAAAATATTGTAATAAATATTAACCGTTTCAAATCTAGCTTTGACACGATTTGCATCATCAACTTGATGCTTTAATACTAGAAGTTGAGTATTTGCATCATCATCCGAGGGTTTACCCTCGCGTAACCTAGATAATTCACGTTGAAGTTCGTTAATCTTCAATCTCAAACTTGTCATTGTGTCGCCTTTTAGAGCATCCGAAAGTTCGTTAATAGAATGGTCAATAATATCATCTACTTCAATTTTTTCATCATCTAATTTTAAAGGCTCTCCTGTGTAATAAATTTTTGAAAAAAATTCTATTAATAATTCCTAAGAAATTAGAGATAAAAAAAATAAAATAAGTTAATATGTTTACCTTCACCTAACTCTAATTCTCGTAATCTATCTTCTAACAAATGTATGGTCTCTTGATCACGTGATTGGGCCATATCGTATGCTTCAATTTTTGCCTTCATGTGCCTATATTCGTACTCGAATTTATTTTTTTGATTAACCAATTCTATTTTTTCAGATTGAAGTTCATCAAGTTGTTTTTTATAATTTTCCATTAATCCTTTGAAACAAGCAACTTTATCATACTCCTCTAAAATTGCTTGATTACGTTCGGCAAGGGTGCGATTTTCTTGTTCTAGAGTCTATGAATGAAATCATATTTAAAACATATGATGTTATGATCCTTGATAAGTTTATTTGCATTCTACCTTATAATTTCGCCGTAAATCCGCAGCTTCTTCCAATTTCTTTTTATATTTATCAATGACATTTTCTTTTCTCCTGAGCTCGTCAGCAGCATGTCTGTATTCATCAACTTGATCCTTTAGTCTCGCAGCTTCATTTGCTTGTTCGGAGAGTAATTCGTTCTAATTATTTACCAATCGTTTAACAAAAAAATTTCTTACATAATTAAAGATAATGTAATGTGTATTTTTTTTTATTTTAAGAGAGGAAAACTACCTTGCGAGAAAGATCAATTATTTCAGCCTCCTTTTCAGAGAGTTTCTTCAGATTTTCTGCAACTTGCTTTTCATATCTCTTCCTGTAATGTATAGAAAGTAATAATATTGTAACAATCGGTGATTTATTTCCGAAATTGATATATTAATGATAATTTTTAAAATAATGCTTGCAATTCATTTTGAAGTCGATCAATATCTGTTTTCAAAATAAAGTCTGCTTTTCCGGTCTGAGCAGAATGAGCTAAAGCGAGTTCCATATCTTTCAACTTGTGTTTCGTTTCTTCCAGTTCTGCTTGCAAATCATCCTATTGATACACATATATTATTATTCATCTTCAGAAATTCATCTCAAATTTATTATTAAAGCTTTATAATAAATTGAAAATTTACATACACATTGATCACGCAATGCTGTGTGTTCTTCCATTAAGGCTTGGTGTGCTTTTTCTAGGGCTTCTTTTTGAGCAATAATTTTTC